TAAATCCATTCTAAGATGAGCTACCTTATAGTTGTCACTTTGAATTTCACGCTCTCCACTATTCTGACCAATATATCAATAAGTTTTGTACAAAAAATCAGTCACCAACCTTATAACAACACGATCTTCTGAAGAACCGTACACACAGTGGGCGGCCGTCAACACCCAATATTCGTCAATAAGAGATCCCCCACAGAACTGGCTTCCACCACGGCTGGCTAACATAGCTTGCCACGGCCAGCTGCCTATTTCAGCCGCGCTACCGCCAACAATACGTGACATAGACGGTCTAGATCCGCAATCGCTGTCTATTATTTAAAAGAAAAATCTACATGATATCTAGTTATGATTTACTAAACGTTTCACCGTTAGGAAAAAAACAATAATAACGTCCTCGGAAAGCCATCGATATTTCCAAGAGGAAATGCTCTCGTGGATCGTACCTGATGATGATCCTCCTCCTCCTGGGGTTGGTAAGGGAGGGGTGGTTGGGGGTGTCGTCGGAACTGTTATCGGGGCTAAACGGAAAGAGATGTTTCTTTACTGAATTAGACAAATGACACTTAAAAAATATATGCTAGGTCTTTTTAATGAAGACTGATTCTTCTGGTGCATACTTCACATATCTAACTGAAAAATTCCACCAGCAACCGTCAGAAATGAAGTCTGGGAACAGTAGATTAATTCCATTTCAATTCCATTGTAGGACTACAGGATAAAAGGGAAAATAGAAAATTGTAGTCATTGACTTTTTCGATCCCTCCTTTTGACCTTAACGCATTGTTGACCACCTTACTATGCTCCTTTGTTCGTTGGAAAATAGAGGGAAAAAGGATACCCTTCATAAACAACCAGAATCCAACCATACGTCATCCTTCTTTACATTGTTACTTTTTCACAAATAAGATCCTGTTGTTTTTCAAACGTGTTTGCAGTTTACCTTCAAGACAATTTCCCCAACGTCCGTCCCGGTCATAATTATCCGTGAGACTACACCAGTCTCTATCCCAGCCATAACTAGTACATTGATAAAACTGATAACCAGCGAAAATGAACGGGAAGTGGCAGCAATCCCCATCCTCAGTTACACGACTGCAATCTACATTGCAAAAGATAAGAGTAAGGCAACAAAAAAAAATCAAACAAACACCCTTCCCCCCTCCTTCCCCTCCCTTCTGCCGCAAAAAAAAAAAAAACAAGAAAAAAAAAAACAAGAAAAAAGAATACGCAACAGTGCGTTTCCTACGAAGAGTAGGAACGAAAAAGCCCTCAGAAATTTCGTTTCTTTCCTTCTTTCCCTTGGAATCCGAGAAATTTAACTGTTAACGTAGGAGAGAACGAAATGATGTAAGTTGAAACTTGACCACGTAAACGATTTCGATGTTCCATTCAGTTATACTTAATAAATGTTACAATGAAACTTCCTCTCGCGAGAGAAAAAAATAAGTTCTTAGTAAGTTTTAAGAGTATACAAACCTTTTGCGGCAGAGAATGCAAACGCCGTAAGCAATAAGATTGCTGAGATCTTCATCTTTCGTTTCACCTGAGTGGGTTACGTTGGTTTATGAGAGTACGTACCATTGAGAATAATGATAGCTTTTATAGTTTTCACTCCCAACGTAATGGACTGTCACTATGTTTAATGTGTTTGCGGACATTTTCTTTCCATGTGTAGCTACATGAATGAAATTACTACTTGCCGCCACTTAAAGATAAAAGGTTTGATTTATTGGAAGTACGTTTACCAAATACAAATCGTTTGATGTTTTATAAGCCAGAATGGGACAGTCAGAATATTTCTTGTACAAAAATTGAATATTTTTATCACACCATATGGTTTTAAGGGCCTTTAAGTGAATGAATACGGTTTGTCCAGGGTATTTTTATTGCTAAGATGTGTAAATCCTCACATATCAGAATGACTCTCAACCAAAAAAAATATGTATCGCATTGAGACATCGTCAGGAGTATATTAACATAAATTTATGTAAAACTCGTGGTCCATTTAAGCTTATTTTTCTTAAGCTTCTCTGTTTACACGTTTTCCTCAGCTTTACAAACAATGCTTAGCTCATGGAAATAGCCAATATCTGTGTACTTGTCAATTTTCTGTCATGACTTGGTTCTTCAGTTTGACTTTCTCTTATTTCTTCATTTTGTTTTTCATATTTCGTTTTTATTTCCTTCACTTTNCAGGAGAAACGAGACATTCTCCCTTCTCGATACCCTGATAAAGCAGACTGTCTCAGCCAGTCAGAGCGCAAGTAATAGGGATACTTTATGTTTTAATTTATTTATTCACCTTTTTTGTCGGCCGATTCAGGTGTTCTCAGACCTAATTTTGAAAAAAGGCTGAAAGTTTCTAAAAAAAAACTGTGGTCCTGCGTCGGTAGGTTTTATGTGGATTTACATGCAGAAAGCGAAGCTACGCCATTGGTGGTAACACGGCGACGAGAAAAACACGAATCAATTAGTGGAATGAGAAGCACAAGAAATCAAAGGCATTAAGAACTAGTCTATGTAATCATCAAACATCTTGGGGAAATGAAACTTTTAACCCCTCTACAAATTTTGTTAGCTAGGTTAGTTAGGCATTCAAGGAGGGATGCACAAATATGACCGTTTTTAAAAGTTGCAACTCTCTTTTTGCCATGGTTATAGGCTGCTTGTTGACATCGTAAGGCCTCATCTTCATTGTAATTTTGTTGTCTCTGAAGACTTTGTTTGTGTTTATTAACACACAATAGTACTAGAAATCATGTTATTTTCTACACTTATCATTACCATCATTGCTGTTGCTGTTATCATTAACCATCACCATCGTAATCGTCATATAAAGACTTGCCTACTTTCTTTAGGGTGGCCTACGCTTTTTTTATATCCCTGTACTTTAAATGTATATTTCTGACCATTTTCGCGATGGCCCACTGTTAGTTTTTCAAGCATCAAATGACACGCATGTTGTTTTACTCAATGGCTTTCCGTAAGGACTTGCAGCTGTATGTTACGAAAAAAAGTTTTAAGTAAACATTAAATTTATGTATTCCTAGTGGGCTCACGTTTTTTCCATTCTTGGAAGCATCTGGTCAAACAGGCAGTCCCCGTCTATTATTTTCCTCCTTGACGGTGCTTCTTACTTTAAAGGGGTGTTTATAATTGATAATGGACCTTCCTTAACATAAGATCACGTAAAATCCTCTAAATATGTCTTATATTACTTTTCTGAGCGATTTTGGATTACTAAGGCCACAATGTTCACGTGTAACTGATGAAAAAAATTTGTAAGGGACTGTCTACATAAGTGATGAGGACAGCGAAAACCCATGGAAAGGTTAAATTTAAAATTGTTATTCATCGCGAAAACATCACCACTTAGTTTTCTCTACTTAGATTTACGAAATTAAAAAGTTTTCTCTGCTTAGATTTACGAAATTAAAAAGTTAAAAAAAGAGCGTAAAACGAAGGGCTCAGCCAAAAGAGCGTTAATATTCGCTAATATCTGCAGATCTCTAAAGGTCTTGGGAACTTAGAATTTTCCCAAAAATTATGAAATGCATTATCAGATACAATGAAATATATGAAGTTCATATATTTTGAACTGCGGTGTTAGATACGTATAATGCACGATCCTCGCAGTAGATAGCGCTATTTAAGCAATAGCGAAAATCAGACCTGAAAAAAGTCAGGCCTGTACGGGATTCGAACCAC